TTCTTTATATGATTTTCATAATTTCATGAAATATTACGAATTATGGAATTAACGAATTTTATAACATAATTGTAACAATAAAAGGGTCAAGATCTAAAATACGATGATTTCAAGACGATATCTCGAGATCCAGCGATCGAAATCACATGAAAATATCACCATTTGATTCGCTTAGACATGATGAAGCAAATGTTGATATTTTTATGTGATATCAATCGCTGGATATCGAGATATTGCATATTTTTTTTACTTCGCCAAAATACCCTCCAAATTAGCAGCACACAAAATGATCATTTTTTTCTTTTATTACTTGACATATCATTGTAATTTTTGCTAGACTTATACAAAATTGAGTTGGCTTTTTAGTCATAATATATATACTAATATTCGTACTCTCTGTAAAAAGTTTTCCTAATCACAATTTTAAGTTCTTCATAATACCCCCTTTTACCTTATATTTTATTATATAAAAATTTTTATAATTTATTAATAATAAAAGTATTTTTAGAAAAACAATATTATTTTATAAAAGATTGAAAAATTTTTTGCAATATTAACTCAAAAAAAAATATAAAAATATTCTGAGTTTTTTAAATATTATCAGAAAAATAAAATAAGTTATTCTTTTTTTGAAATATCCAAATATTTTTTAGTATAATTATTTTTATTTTCCAGAAATTTGCTAATTATTCCAGTAAATTTATATATATATATATAATCTCTGGTTTTTTCTGAAAAAATTTCAGTAAATTTTCAAATTTCTATTATATTACAAATAATTTTTGTAATTAATATTTTTATACTAATAAAAATAAAAATAAGATCTAAAATAAATTTATTTATTAATATTTTAGATATTCAGATATTTAATCTAACAAAAACTGAAAATACTTAAATATTCTAAATTATTCTCTTAATACCAATTTTCAACCAATTTTTATCAGATTAAATATTTTAAAATATTCCTGAATAATAATATTTAACCTGGAAAAAAACTGAGATATTTAACCTGATCTAAGCCTGATAAAAGCTGGTTGAAAAATTAGAATTAAAATTTTTATCAGGTTGCTCTCAGGTTAAATATTTTCTGGATCCTGGAAGATCTTATGAAGATTTTTCTGTATTATAATTTTTTTTTACTATTAAATTATAAAAAAACTCTTATATAGTCAAACTCTACTTCTTATATTGCATTTCGATATTATTTTGAGGATGATATCTCTTTTTCTTGAAAATTTATAAGCTTTTAAATTTTGTATATATATATTTTTATTATTTCTCTGTATAAATAACAAATTAATTATACGTATCAGGATAATTTTCCATTATTGGCAGAATGTATGACCTACTAAAAACAAACTACGTATCGGTATATCGATCGAATCGATACCTTTTTCTACAAGAAATGACCAAATTTACCAACCATGCAAAATAAAGCTTGGCCTGGGTTACGCAGAATTATATGAAAGTTCTGACCCAACAACATGTACATGTATTTACAGTCAAATCTCGAGCATTTTCTATTTCACATGTGTCGATTATCATCTTTTATCTACTATTATTGGTTTAAAAATCGGAGGTTATTACGTTAAACGAGTCGAAAATGGACGATAACGCAATCACCGACTAGTTGAAAATAGACTATATAGAGATTTTAAAAAGTTTCACACAGAAAATCTCTGCATGGTGTACGACGATATGAAACCTTGATGAGACAATTGAAGTTGGTACAATCTGGTTTGAAATCACATCACATTCAACAAATTGGGTAAGGAGTAATATCAGTAATACATGCGTCTCATTATACTTTGACTGATGATTATGAAATTTCAGGTGCGAATATTTTCTCGATTGTTGTTCATTATGATGGACGACAAAGATATTCGTTCATCGCGTTGTGGCTTTCAGCGTTAATAGTTACTAATTAATTATTCGCGAATTTAGGGTTATCTGATTTTCTCCTTATCGTTATCGTAAAATAATAACAATAAAGTAGACTAAAAAACAACCACCGCTTTAACACATATCTTTGCTTGCTTAGTTAGGTTTTTGATGAGCAATAGAATAAAATAATTTTTTGAATTCATTTCGTTCTCTTGTCAACTGTTAACAAGTGCATGTGCAATCGAGTGATATTTTTGCTGGATTCAATTAATTTGGTTTAAAAAACAAATTAGACATTGCGAAAAAGTCTGCGTTTTTACAAAAATAAAAATGTTTTTTTTTCACAATAAATATGACATTGTTATTCCTATTATCGATAACGACACCACCAGTGATATCGTTGATATTTTTGAAGTGAAAGATCCGTTCGTAGCACTTTGCGTTACGACGGTTGGATCAGTCGTGTTATCGTTATTGTTTGCTGTTGCATTATTATTTAATGATACCTCCGAAGCAGCAGCAGTTTCATCACCACCTTTTAAATTTTCCAAATATGGTGAAAAATCAGAACAATTGGCGACCGTATTTATATTCCAACCAGCATCCAGTAATGTAGAAACAGCTTTTGGTCCTTGTTCAGCCGTTTGTTGATAGTAATCATGTTCTAATGAAATATGTCCTGTCGGAGTATCCTCAGATGCCCACACACTAAAGTTCCCGGCAACCCATTCAAGTTGGAAAGTCGGATCACTTACTGACACCCAATCGCGACTATCTTTATCCCAAATAACGATTTTATAGCCGAGTTGTTTCATTATTCCTCGAACACGGTCGTCCATATCGCCAAATGGGGGACGCATTAATCTGGGTGTTATTCCGCCGGCTTCTTTTATTGCTTTCTCTGTCCATTTTACTTCGGCAATGATTTGTTCAGTCGTTTGGGTTGTTAGTGCGGTGTGTGACCATGTATGAACGCCAACTTCGTGGCCTTATAAAATATTAAAAATAATTAGTATAAATTAATGCATCTATTATTTCCAATAAATAAACATACCACTATCAACCATTCTTTTTACTAGTTCCGGATTACCAACAACATTAATACCGATCAAAAAGAATGTCGCCTTAACGTCATTCTCGTCCAGAAAATCAAGTAAAGCAGAAGTATACTCTGATGGACCATCATCAAATGATAAACCCCACACTGTAAAGAACATGAAACAATGTCAACGAGGTTACCAAAAATGTATCAATGCGATATATCATTCTTTTATTACCATTTTTCGTGGGACAAGCTAGAATATCATCGGGCCGATTGCAATGACTACATGACCAATTACACGTGTCTATTGGATTTCCTGAACAGTCGCCCTGAGTAGTTATTACTGGAGCATTTACCAGTTTTTTCTTTTTCACTAGCTTGTTCCATGCTTTATTAATTGGTGGTGGACCTTTTGGTGGCCATTTCCCCTTGAGTTGTGCTTCGGTGATGTCGATGATTGCTGTGGAAGAAATCAGTATAAATAGGAGAAGAGAGAGTTTTGGTATGTACATTTTTTTATATTTTATGTTTTGGTGTGTGAGTTTTTGGAAGAAGTTAGTGCGTGTATATATGCTATATATGAAATTGGTCGTGGCGTTTAAAAATCAACCTTTTCCCGAAAGGTTGGTACCTCCCACTTTTCTTCAATATGCTACTGAAAAAATTCTTGAATATTTCAAATATCCCAAAGAATTTTATCTGTGAAAAAGATTCTCGGAAATGATATAAAATCGCGCTGTGTTTTTTTACACGTATAAAAAACACACACCAATGTCGGATAAATAAATACATGTAATTAGGAGTCAAGGGGTTTTATAGTTTTTAGGTGATACTTGATGAGCACATTAATCGGTTCTTAAAAAAGGTATGCGGCCGATGGATAAGCATAATCAGTATAACGAATAAGGATAGCATAGCCAAATTCCCGTAAAACCACGATCCCGATGATTTTCTATAGCATCAAATGTGATTTGTGTGTGCATGCCACCTGTTCACTGAAACACAATGAAATAAATCCAGAAGTATTATCGTTATCGTTATACATGTATTATTATCGTTATCACACGATTAATATAACGGATTACCAGATATAGGAAAGTCTTGATTTGACGGTTTTTCTTTGACTGCCTGAACCCATCCGTCATATTTGACGGCTTGGCAAAAAGATGCTTTTATCAATAGTACATGTAATAGAATTGTTGATGTGTAACCTAATGAATGAATTGCGAAACGTAATTTAGGTAAGACATGAAAATGTTTAGGACCAGTTTTGTTACACTTTTTTATTTCATTTTATATGAATAAGATACAAATAAGTTAATTTGAATTAATCTCGGCAGATTTGCGTACGTAACGGTAATGAATTTACTATGAGAACCAATCCTGCAAATTAACTTCTAAATATAGACAAAACCATATAGTTCATCAATTTTAGCAAACGAGAACATGTATTGGTTTTCATAGTAAATTCTTTACGCCAATCCGCTGTAACATTTGCTTAACAATCATAATTGCTCCATGAGTTATGTTTTATTGATTTCTCAATCTAAACATTTCAATAATAGGATTGTGGCGCTGACTCAGACATTAAAATGTGTATACGGTAAATTGCTGACTAAAGAACCCCGAGTATTCTGCCTTTTTAGTTCAGGTATTTTACACAAGAGGACATTTTGGTTGGAAGCGGGGTACAACTATCTTGGAAAGCAATTTTACCTTTGCATATGCGTAAAAATATGTAATGGAGGTCATGCATAAATTTCTCAGCCACTTACGAGGGTAATTGGGCAGTTATGGTCCTCGAATTTTGAAAGAGATTATGGATTTTGATTTGGTCAAATAGGTTTATTCCAATGTGAAAAGAAGGATTTGATTCATCATATTTACAACGCTAAACCAAATTATTAGGCTATCACTGATATTTGTTTCCCAATACTTTATAAAGAAACCCTATTTTTAAACGTCTTCCAAAACACAATTAAGATTCACTGAGGTTTTGTGAACGGGAACAATCAAACGTGTGTGAATCTGTATAATTAAATTTAGTCATTATCGTTATGCACTGTCATTTTGGGATACGGAATCGGCCAAAATTAGGATAGGAGTACGACTAGAGTTGAGTAAGGGTAGGGTAAGGGTTAGTGCCGGTGATAAGATTGGTGTTGGCCGAAGATTCTAAATCCACATTAAGTGGATTCAGAATCCACCAATATTCCATCTCCAATTACAACATATCGATATATAAGGAATCTTCTGCTTTAAATTTGGGGTATGTTGATCACTTTTAACTCGTTATTTATTTTTAGCTCTATTTACTTTTATAATTAAACTATCTTTTCATATACATACATATATGTATGTATTATACATCATATTCTATTGATTTATTCTTACCTTAACAAAGTAAAATTCAATGAGTGGATATAATCTATTTCAAGATCACACATCGATTGCTCAATAATTAATACCATTACGCTACTCACAACTCATGTCATGCTTAGACATAAGTAGACTTATGTCCGAGCATGACGTAAGTAGCGTAATATAATTGCGGAGAATAGAGACTAGGTTCCAAGTATGCTGTCGCTATTAAATTAATTATTATTTTCGTATTACATCATTCTTTTTATTTGATCGAATATGAGAGAATTTAATCAATCATTGCTTTGGGTAGTATCAAATTTTTTTTTGATATCCCAGAAGAAAAACCTTAAATATAAATATCAATGACTCTCGTTAAATCGGGACTGTGATTTGTTCTATTGTGCAGGAATTTCAAATTATAAATTTCCTGTATAATTAATATTAAAAAAGCTTAACCAGTTATTTTCTTTTTTTTTTGCCTTCGGTTTATCATTTGAATGTATTTAATATCTTTTAAACCTAACGTTAATTGCAATATGAGACTATTTAATTTACAGGTTAGGGTCCGCTTTAGTAATAAAGTAATCCATATCTGAGTTTTCAAATAACATAAAATGGTTTACAATCTTATTCTAAATACTACTTTCGAGCCATATGGTTACTCTAATAGTAATGCGGGTCAAGGTTTATTGATAGTAATTGAATAAACCAATCATATTTGTGAAATGCGATCAATATTCCCGTGATGACTGTGGCCATGGAAACAACCCTAGCGTCACCCGGAAAAATTGATAGCCGGATAGATCATTGACCAATAATGTGGGGCAAATTTTTGATCAAATTCGACACAAGAAGATAGCTTGAAACATTAATTGAAAATGTCAGGGATATAGTTTTATATATAATCTTAGCTCTAACGCTAACCCTAATTCGTCCAAATAAAAATTGTGTTCCCGGAAAATCTATCCGGCTACCACTATTCGGGGTGACGTTAGGTAAGTTGGCCAGCGGATATCGTGTGTAAAACAAGTGCTACACTAATTAAAACATGAATAGATTAACTTGAAAGTTCAAACGCAATAACTTGTAAATCGGATTTTTATTGATCTTCTTAATAATCTTTATTTAAAATTCTAGATCATCAATCTTTAAAATGAAGTTAGTATAGTTCTAGAGAAATCAAGAATTTTACATTTTAATAAAAGCAAATAAGAACAAACATATGGATCAGAATCAATAAAAAAAGTACAAATTTATGTAATTTATCTTATTTAGTTTATAAAAAGAAGAATCATAATTTTTATAAGAATTGCAATTTCATGAAAAAGTTTACAATTAATTTAGAAACCAGCTTTAATCTAATCAAACATATTATTAAAATAATTAATTAAAAATAATTTTTATCAAAATTATTTATTAAAAACATTATTTTAAATTAAATATACTTTACTTGGTATTAGAATTCTGAAAAAAAGTCTGATTCAGTTCAAGCTTGAACTGAACTCAAACCTGATCAAAATCTGGTTCAAAAATTTGAATCCAATTAAAAAGTCTGGTTCGAGTTCAAACCAGACTCAAACCTAACCAAAAGTCCAGTTCAAGTTCAAGTAAATATTCAATGAGCTTCTAAGTAAAGTTGTAGAACAGAATTAGAGCTAAAATTGATATTGAAAATAGATATTCAAAAAGATATTTAGATTTAAAAATTATTTTTGATTTTTATAATTTTAATTCACTTTAATTACTTTATAGTAAATATTTATTTTGCTATAGTAATAATAAACTATAAAAAGTTATAATAAAAAATAAGAGCTATAATTTGAGATAGTTGCTATTAATAATAATTATTCAAAAAAATATATAAAATTTATTATAAAATTTAATAATTATAAAAATAAAATAATTAGTTATCACTAAGTAAACTTTAATTTTTACTAAATAGTATAATTAGTACTTATAATTAAAGTTATAACTTTTACTTGGAGCTATAAATCAATATATAATATTATATATTAATCTCTAATTAAATTCAAATTAGACTCAAACTCATATAATGATTTGATTTAAATTCAGTTTAAACTTCAAATTTATATCAAAGTTTAATTCAAGTTTACTTCAAATTTTGAATCAGACTCAAATTTAAGCAAAAGTTCAGTTTAGTTTAGTTTATAAAAACTCTAGTATATATTATATTTCAATAATTTTTTATCCATTGAAAATTTATAAAATTGAGTAATTTTTATTAATTTTTAATAATAATTAAAATAATATTAATTTAATAAACTTACTGAACTCATTCATTTTCTATAAAAATTATTAATAAATTTATTATTTGATATATTCTTTATATATTTAAATATTTCTTATTTAAATATAATTTTAATATTTTTTTTTGTTTATCTTATATTGAAAATATTTCTGAGAAAAAAAGTTTTTTGTAATATAATTTAGCTTATTTTTAATAAATATAATTAAATAAATAAATAAAAATATTTATATTAAGAACTTTAAATAAAAATTCTTGATCTTTCTTTTTATTTAATTATTTAATTATTCAATTATCTTTTTAACTTTTCACATATTATTTAATTTTTTTTATAAAAAGGTATATTTATTTATATTATTTGAATTAATATTTATTAGTTTCTTCTAAATTAACAAAAAATAAGTTTAAACTTATAAAATAATAATAATTAAAAATTTAATATTTTTTTAAGCTTAATATATTATACTTTAAAGATTATTTACCAAAAATTAATTGCTAATTCTTGATGATAAATATCTTAAATGAGTATCTTGATATTAAATATCTTGTTAATAAGTATCTTAATATTAAATATCTTATTAATAAATATATTAATAA